AATAATAATAATAATAATAATAATTTGTTTACTTAATAAATAATTATAATAAACAATTATTATAATAATTTATTAATATCTATAATTTATTTTTCTATCTTTATTTCGACATTTTAATATTTTAATAAAATATTTATTTATATATAGTATAATATGATATTAAATATTATAGTATTTTTATATTTTTATTTTTATAGTTTTATAGTTTTAATTATTTATAATTATTATTATTTATAATAATTATTATTTATGATAATATAATGATACTATAGTAATATATTTATAATAATTTATTCTTAGTATAAATATAATAGTATTAATAATAAATATATTAATAAATAATCTAGAATTATTTGTTTTAAATAAATAATTATGATTATTAATAAGAATTATTATAAAATATATTTATAAATTAAATCCTTAATATTTATTTTATATTAATCTTAATTTTTATTTTTAATTATTTTTAATTTTTTTCCATTTAATTTTAAATTTAATTTTTAATTTTAGTTATATATTTTTTATAATAATATTTATATATAAATATATATATTTATATATAATATATACTATATAATATATATATTTATATATAGATGTATATAAATGAAATCTATAAAAATATATAACACATACTTATATTTTACATAATATATAATATATAATATATAATATATAATATAATTTTATATAATTCTATATTTTATTTATATATATTTAATATTCATTAAATGTAATACTTTATTAAATTATCAAAGTATACATTTGGAAAAAGCCACAAGCAATTTCGACTTTGACCCAGGTGATCATGGTCAGGGAGGGTTAGGATTTGGCCTCTATCATACCAAAGTCCCTGGGGGTCTCCAAATGTCATTTCTGGGGTCTGTTTTATACAGTCTTTTGGGGTCTTCTTTAGCATATTTTAGCCTGTTATTGTAGTTTGTCTTTCTTGCTACCACACTTCCCAGAACCGGTGGAGAATTGCTGGAATCCTGTCAGGTGAAAACTTTCTGGGATAAACTTCTGATGATGCCTATGAAATGCCTTCTGCTGGGGTCTTGTCAGACAGAAAAAATCCCTTGAAATATCCAT